CAGCATTGGTAATCCTTTGAACCCACTGAATTTTTAATATTCTTCTGTAACACCACGTTTCGAACGCTTCTATTTTTCTTATATGTTGTTTCTTCAATGTCCAAGCTTCCATTCCGTATAGTAAGATAGAAAATATGTAACATCTTAGAGCCCTCAACCTGAGATGCAACTGAAGGTCTCTGTTGGTAAGCATTATCTTCATGTTCACAAATGCTTGCCTTGCAGTTTCAATTCGGACTTTGATTTCTCTGCTTTGGTCATTTTTGTCGTCAACCCAGGTTCCCAGATATTTGTATACCTCTACTTTTTCTATTTGGGTTTGCTCTATCAGTAATCTTTCATTTCCATGTTGCGTTTTTGAGACAATCATAAATTTCGTTTTTCTCTTATTTATTTTTAGTCCGTATCTAATGCAATAATCGTTAATTCTTTTTACCAATTCTTGTAGCGATTCCAGGGTGTCTGCCATTATAACGGTGTCATCAGCGAATCTTATGTTATTTACTATTCTTCCGTTTACAGAGATTCCATCACCCAGATCCGCTATCGCTTCCTAGAATATGGCTTCACTGTACACGTTAAACAGTAATGGTGACAGAATACAGCCCTGTCTTATCCTCTCTTTATATCTATATTTTGGCCTTTTAATACCAATACAGATTGATAATGATTCGTAAGTCTCGTCTGTCTATATCTTTGTTTCTCAGTACTTCTATTAGTTTTTCATGTCGGACCCTGTCGAATGCCTTCTAGAAGTCAATGAAACAAAAATAAATATCTAGGTTCATATCTAAGCATCTTTGAGAGAGGACCTTACAAGCAAACAATGCCTCTCTCGTTCCCAAACTGAGTATCATCCTATCATCTTCTAGTTTTCCATATAATCTTCCATGAATCACATTTAGAAATATTTTGAGGGTATGGCTTATTAGTGATATTGTCATATAGTCTGAACAATCTTTGGCATTTACTGTTTTTGGTATTGCTACAAATGTGGACACCAACCATTCCTGTGAGATTTTTCTAGTTTCATTAAATAGGTCCAGAAGTACAGGTAGAGTTTCAGCGTCTAGACATTTCAGTAGTTCCGCAGGTATTTCGTCTGAACCTACAGTTTATAGAGGAATAACCCTCCTTAATACGGCATACAGAATATTTTCGAGTATTTTATATAGTCGCCTGAGTACATATTCAGAGGAGCTTCTTGGCGAATATCAAAGTGGTTTTAAGCCTGGTCGATCAATAACAGCCAGATCTTTGTGCTAAGGCAAATACTGGAAAAACCAATGAATTCAATATCGACACATACCATCTTTTCGTAGATTTTAAATCAGCCTATGATAGTGTCCTAAGAAATAAATTGTATGAAGCCATGGATGAATTTTACATCCCCGATAAACTAATAAAATTGGTTAAGGCTACAATGCATTAAGTTGTTTGTAAAGTCGAAATACAAGGCGAACAATCACAGGCATTTGAAACGCATGTTAGGCTGCGACAGGGAAATGCGCTGGGGTATCTCCTTTTCAACATAGCTCTGGATAAGGCGGTCAAGGATGCCCAAATAGACAACAGAGGAAACATTTTTAATAAATCATTCCAAATTTTGGCATATGCAGATGATGTTGACCTAGTTACCCGCACAACACGCACACTAGAAGAAATGCCACCTTGTCAAATGCCTAAAAAAATATGGTCCTGCAAGTAAATGAGGAGAAAACTAAGATAATGGCATCAACACCCAACAATAGAGCTAAAAACATGGGCCACCAATTTACTGTTGATAACTCTACCTTTGAAGTGGTGGAAAAATTCACATACTTAGGCTCCTTGATCACCAAGGAGAACATCATGACGGAAGAAATCAAGCGAAGAATAATCCTAGCAAACAAATGCTATTTTGGATTGAGTAGGCATATGAGAAGCAGAAACTTAAGCCAAAAAATAAAAAGAACCATATACAAAACCCTTATACAACCAGTGTTGACATATTGATCGGAGACATGGACCATTTCCAAGGCAGATAAAAACCTTCTGCTCATATTTGAACAAGAATTATGAGAAGAATATTCGGTGGCATCTGTGAAAATGGTGTTTGGAGAAGAATGTACAACTATGAGATATATCACAGATATAAATATATATTTGGTGGTAAAGACGTAGTATCTCTCACAAAGATAGGAAGACTAAAATGGACAGGACATCTGGAAAGATCACCGCAGAACAACCCTCCTAGAAGAATCCTTATGTCACAACCTGTGGGAAGTACTTGGGGGTAGGCCAAAACTCAGATGGAGGGATGGTGTAGATGAGGATGGTAGAAAAATAGGCGTAGCAAACTGGCAACAGTTGGCAATGGATAGAACTGACTGTCGTAATAGACTTGGGAAGGTCGAGGCTTTTTTATAGGGCTGTAGCACCTGTAATAATGATGATTATTATTTAATTCGAGTTCGAGTTAATCCAGTTCGTTAAGCTATTTGCTTTTATTGGTCAGATTTCATTTTTCTTTTTCATGTTTATTTTGATGATTTAAACATTTTTCTCTAGATTTCAAACTTTTAGGCCGACGTTTTCTAGTAAAACATTATAGCTGCACCTGCGCTTGGATAGGTTTTTAAACTCTTTGTTTATCCTTATAAAATCTATTTGGTTTCTGATTATCTTGTTGTTATTATCTTTGGGAGAAGTCCACGTATATAATCGTACTCCTGGTTCTCCAGTTCTACTGGTAGTACCGGACTTCTTTCTATTGCCCATTCCGTTTCGTTTTCCTAACCCAAAGATTCCTAACATATTTCCAGTTTTTCCTTGACCAATTTTAGCGTTAAAGTCGCCTATGGTTATTTTTAGTTCGTGCTTCTTTTGATTTTTTTTAAGCGAGACTTCTATACTGGCGTTGTATTACTTTTTTCTCTATAGTAAAATGCTGTTCTTTACATCGATTCGATTTACTTTTGATCAATTCGTTTTTAGTCATGATGTATTTATTCTAAGTAGTTTTAAATTAAAAACTGAATGAAAAGTAACCAACAAAATGCCAGACATTAAATATGAGAGGTAAAAAATTAAAAGAATATCTGCCCATAAAAAAGATTCGATTCGTAAAGATTTTAATAATAATTAAATTTATTTTCAAATGATATTTATTAATATTTTATTATTAATTTAATATTTCATCGGAATTTGACAGGTCTGTTAGAAATAAACAACGTACGCTTTGTTAATACGTTAGCAGATGGCGTTAGAAGCAAACAATAATATTTATTGACTTATGTTAATATAATATTATTTGTTTAAAATACAAATTATAAATAAATACCAAAATTATTTTATTTAATTTTTAAAAAATTATTTAAATTTTAAAAATACAGAAAGCATAGTATGAAGCCCTAGTTTACTGTATCGCCTACTGTACCATCTTTTTTTGTAAAAGCTGTTCAGTTGTTGGAGTATACACTTGTAATATATTTATTTTTAAGGGTTTTGCTTTGAGCTGAAGTAGCATCAGAAGAACGTTTAAGGGAATAAAGTTTGTCACATACTGTTGTAATTTATTGTTAATAACAGTACTAATATCATGGTTGCGTTATCTAGTGCTGTTAGTTGAGTAAAAGATACTTTTGTTATCCTTAGTATAATTTCCAGAATTTGGCAATCATAATTCTGAAAAAATCTAAATTTTTATCTCTAATTTCTATATTTATAGTATGATTGTTTCTAATTTATTGTTTTTATAATCCACCCTGCGATAACAAATTCGTTTTCCCTTCTGGAGATTTTTCGCACCCTGTTTCATTGAACTGGCCATTAGAATTATTTGCTTCTCTTTCATTTCTGGATATACTTGAGAATATCTATAGAGATCCTTAATGCATTGGTGTCTTCTTGCCTTCTACATCCTTATGCCGTTGATAATTTATGTTTCATTCACCTGTAAGACCGATTTCTCAATCTCAGGGCAATAGATCCATTCGCCTGACGCCATCAAGTTTGGAATTGCTTATATCTGCAATGGCTTCTTTCTTTCGGGTGATGTCATTCCCACACAAGAAATTCATAATAAATATGAATAAGCACTACATAGCCTAACTAGTATATAACTGACTATCCGATTCTTTTTTATATTTAATAAAAATTTTGCCATGAAATCTTTTCCGTCCCATAATTTTAAAGAGTATATAATAGTCTACAACATTTTTAAATACACTGTCATTAATTACAAAAAGGGAAAAATCCCAGTGGTTGGTTGTATACGATATTATATGATATACTGCCAACCACTGGGATTTTACGTTTTTTAACACCTTTGCAACTTTTATAAGGTATACAGTTATTTGTCGTCGATATTCATTGTTTTGTTGTTGTTTGTTTTTAAATGACTGCGGACACTAAATCCATTCGCCAATCTTACAATTTGAGGTGTATCGTGTGTGTGTGTGTGTAGAGTAATTGTCTTGATACTTAGCAAAGTCGACGTCATTGTCTTTGCTAAGAGACGCTAATTGTATCCGAACGTCTGCGGTCCCTCCGGTGTGTACCAATCACACAAGGATAGAAATTATTTTCATTTATTAATTTTTTTTAATAAACGAAAATTTCCACCCAGGTGGGATTCGAACTCACGACCTTTAGATTTAAAGGCAGGCGCTCTTACCACTGAGCCACAGAGGGGGTTGTCGATATTCATTAAAAATTACTGTATTTAATACCATTTTTACTTAATTTTACCAAAAATATTTGTTAATACACAGGCCTAACTAAACTTATCACTGGTTATATCAAACCATAATTTTTACAACATTTAGCATGAGCTCTAGGCTAATGCCTAGCCGTGTATTTATACGATTCCATTGCCTATAATAATTACAATTTTTCCACACATCTACATATATCTACTTATAGTATTTATGATTTTATTGTTGGTATTTTTTTTAACTAGCCTTTCGTCGTAATAATTTAGAAGTTTTTAGTTATTATATTTACATTTTTTGTTCTAGGACAAATGTTAAGTTTTATGGTATTTGGAATATTGATATTTTTCCGAAATTTAACCCCGTGGGCGTTTTTATCTGCTTCGATTCCTTCAATGTTTACTGGAGGATTTACAACATATTTTACAATAACTTTGGCGTACCTTAATGATATATCCACGGCAGAAACGAGAGGAATACGGTAATTAACAAAATTTGCTTTTTTTTTAAGTTAATTGAGATTTTAAATAGATTATACATGTTGAACTTCTTTACCCAATTAAAGTATCTTGATTTCCATTTATATCGTCGGTAACTGCAAAAACCAGATAAGTGCCAGAATGCATAAATTGGTTAGTCTTGCTCCCGATATTCTCTAATAAACAATATTATTAAATACCTAAAGCAACTTATGTTGCCTCTACTGTACACAATATACAGCGCAGATGTTCCATGAACACCAGGAACACTACCCAGCCTTTATGCAGACGACACAACGATTGTGGTCAAATACATAAACTTATAAGTAGCGGTCAGTAATCTACAGACAGCATTGGATAATATTGAAGAATGGAAAATGGAAAATAGCAATCAATTCAGAGAAGACACAGACAATCATCTTATCTCAAGCCTAGGGTATCTCAAAGCTCTATCCTTGGATCTCTGCTTTTAACGGTTTATACCAGCGATGTTTCTTATTATTTTTCAGGTAAATATTGCGCTATGCTGATGATAAAAAAATATATGTTAATTCAATCAAAAACCAGCTAACCCTCCAAATGAACTTGGACTTTATTTTAACTTGGTGTTCCCAGTGGCTACTACCCTTAAATGCGGAAAATGTGTAGTACTTCGAGTTGGTAAAAATATCCCACTTGTGCCGTACTGTTCTCGTATAACGACTTTGGTGTTATAGTAAACAATAGCCTAACTTGGTCCGACCATATTATTCTATTTGTAAACGTTCGAACTCTAGACTATATCTTATTCGGAGGTGTTTTTCGAGAGTTTCAATGCAACCATTCTGTAAGCTTTACACTCTTTACGTTAGACCCATTCTTAAATACGCTCGACCAATCTGGTACCCTGATTTGGTTCAAGACAAAACTTTGTTGGAAAATGTTCAAAGGAAGGCCAACCGAATTTCTTTGGCACCGAGAAAACCTTCTTTTGCAGAAAGATTTAGCTAACCTAACTTCTTTTGAACTTTGCGTACAACGTGGTGAATTAATTAACACATTTAAAATATTTAAATTCAATTTTGGAATTCTTGATGAAATGTTTACCATTAATTAAGATGAACGCCTCAGAGGTTACCAGTTTAAACTTAAAAAGGAGAGCTTTTCTACAAGATGAAGACATTATATCAAGTAAAATTTTTTAGTGCTAAAATAACTTAAATGATAACATTGTCTCAGTTCTCTCTAAAAACGGGTTCAAAAACAAACTTGACTATTTTATATTATAATTTAAATAATGTTTTTCCTTTAAACCAAAACTTTGTAATTTACTAGTAGGTTACTAACGTATTTTTTTGTTTTTGGGCATAATATTGACTTGTCCCTCTGTCCTTGCATATGTGTAATATTAAATTATATATATATATATATATATATATATATATATATTATATATATATATGTATATATTTATATATATATATATATATATATATATATATATATAAATTTTGTTTTAGAATGGCTACTTATGAATCAGTAATGATTATTGGCACCTTCCTAGGAACATTTTGTAGTTCTTACCTGCTATATGCAACTAGTTACGAGACTTGTTACTTATTAGCAGCTGGACTGTTTAGTCTAGGAATACTTTATGTAATATTTCTTTTACCTGAATCGTTACCTTTAAAGATTCGAGAAGTCAAAGGGGTAAGTAACAAATATATAAATAATTACTGGTAGAACACAAATAAATACCGATATTTGTATTTACTAAAAGTACTAGAAACTAGTCAGTTTAAAATTAGTAACAAAATTTAATCCCTATCATTAATTTTTTATTTTATTACTATATTGTATTTGACTTTTCTCTTTTTATTTATTTAGTTATTTGAAATAAGGTTTTCTTGTAAGGTTTTTATCTTAAGCTTCTTCCGTCTGTGTCTTCTCATGAAATGTCCAAAATATTCAATTTTTCGCATCTTAATAGTTTGAGAGACTTCCTCACTTTTATTAACCCTGCGTAGAACTTCAATATTGGTAACTCTGTCTATCCACAATTTACGCAGCATTCTGCGATAACACCAGCGTTCAAATACCTCGAACATTTTAATATCTGGTTGTTTCAGCGTCTAGGCCTTAGAGCCATAGAGGAGCGTTTAAAAGAATAGCACCGCAGTAGCCTTATCTTTGGAGTCTTTTCTTGAGTCTCTTTGAAAATAGCTTCATTGTTCATGTTAAATAGCAGCAGTGACAATATACACCCCTGTCTTACCCCCTAAGAATAAATATCTCTGCTGACAGTTGATCTTCGATTCTAATTTTGATTGTCTGATTCCAATATAAATTTGTTTATATTCAGACGCTACGGGCATTTATTCTCTCTAAAACCTTATAAAGTAAGTAACAGTATATACTCAAATATATCAAGTTTTTATGTAAACCAGCAGCTTCGGACCTCATTTTTTTTACCTCATAATTTTCTTCTAAGGAAGAGACTAAGAAGGAAGAGAAGGAAGACTAAGGATCATATTTTTGATCAATATCAATATCAATACCAATTGAGAGGAAATAATAAAAACAGAAAATTTAAGAGATGACTCCATAAAATCATTATATCAAAAAAGGCTAGGACAGAAAATACAAATGGAGAATATCGAAAATGAAAGCAATGTAGAGACTCTCTTGAGAAAACTTAAGAAAAATATTCTGGATGCTGCCCGAGAAACCCTTGGAACGAAAATAGTAAACAAAAAGTGGTCAACGAAAACACCATGGTTTACACTAGAGGTTAAACAAAAATGTCACCAAAAAAGAGAGCTTTCCTAAAATACAAGTCAGAAAAAACGAATGAATCAAATGAAGAATATAAAAGAATAAGCACTAAAACTCATCAATTGGTAAGAAAAACAAAAACAGATTACTGTGAAAGATTTACATAAGAACTAGAGATGGATTTCTATGGACAACAGAAACAAGTATGGAGCTTCATAAGTCAACAAAAGAAGCGAAATGAAAGAACTAGTTGAAATAGAACACATACAAGAGGATACATGGGTGGCCTTCCTGACAGAAATGCTTAAAAAACAAAACGAAGAACCTTTACCAGAAACGCCAAATATAATAACTGAGAAAAAGACCAAAATCTCCCAAAACGATGTGAAAGCAGGAATAAACAAATTAAAAAACAGAAAGTCACCAGGAGAAGATCAAATACCAAATGAATTCTTAAAATATGGAGGTGATTACCTTGTATAACAACTGCAACTTCTTATTAATAAAATAATCACCACGAACAGAATACCAGATAAATGGAGGAGAGCTATCATGGTGATGTTCTTCAAAAAAAGGAGATAAGAAAGAGCCCAATAATTATCGAGCAATAAATCTTTTAAATACATGACTCAAATTGACAACAAGAATAATAGCGACAAAAATAAACGAACGAATATCTCTGCAAGAGGAACAGCAAGGATTTTGGAGAGGAAGATCATGCACGCATGCAGTTTTTGTAATAAGACTAATAAAAGAAAAGTCGCTGGAATACAACAAACCAACATATATGTGTCTGATAGATTTAAAGAAAACGTTTGATAGAGTGAGAATTCGGGACGCGATACATTTATTATATGAAAAAGGAATATCACTTGAAAAACCATTGAGAATATATATACATAAAGATAACATAGCTATTGTAAGATGTAAAGGAAAACTGGAAAGTACAAAAAAAAAGTGAACATGGCAAACAGAGCAGCAGGATGTCTCAACAACACAATCTGGAGAAACAAATACCTTACTACGGAAATGAAAACCAGGATATATAAATCAACAATAAGACCGATAATAACGTGCACAGCGGAAACAAGAGCAGATATGGCGAAAAAACAAAGACTGCTGGAAACAACACAAATAAGAGTCTTACGAAAAATAACAAACCAAACTCTAAGAGACAAAGTAAGAAGTGAGGAAATACGAACGAGATGTGGTATAGAGGAAATAAACACGTGAACCAAAATCAGAAAAGTGGAATGGAATCAACACATCGAAAGAATGACAGAAAATAGAATAATACGAATAGCAAGAGAAAAATCGCCAAATGGAAGATCATTAGGACGACCGAGAAAAAGATGGTCAGAAAAACGTCAATTGAGGCTAAAAACCGAAGTAAAATAAACATTAAGCCTATTTATAAAGAAGGAAGAAGAAGAAGAAGAAATTTGTTTCAAATGCTTTACTTTTTGCTAATACACGAAAACAGTAAAAATATACCAGTTTTTGATCTTAATTTGTTAATAACTAATTAACTCCAAAAAATCGACTACAGGAAATATAAAGGTTATAACATAAATATAGTCTTCCCTCAAGTCTCTCTGATGACGGCTAGACCCTGAAACACGTGTTAGAGAATAGTAAGAGACTCAAATAAAATTCAAACGAAACCGTCTACGTATATTTATATGGGTTATTGTTATGGAGGTCCATACTACATACAAAACAATCGCTTGCTTGGCCAGTTTAGTGTCATAAACATGGTACTTTTTTTGCTTATTTCCCTGACCTATCAAGTCAAGAAATTTAGCACTGTAAGTGGGCCAATAGATGAGTTAATAAGTATATGTATGTTTAAAATTTTTGCATTCTATTTTTCTATTATAAATTTAGGTACACGTGTTGAAATTCAATGTAGAGTATTAGAAAAAATCAACAAGATCTATAATTGAATCGTTTACTGTTGAAAGGGAGTAAGCACCATTTTATACTTTTCGAGAAATATATGAAATACCTTTTATTGTCTTCTACTTTAAAATTTTTTCTTATATTCAACGTTATGTCTCATACCTCTCTTTCTGTGTTTAACATTGGTTCATTCACTAGTCAAATTTTTTCCATCTTTACTTTTTTAGAAAAGGGTTTTTACTGTAACTAGAATTAGTAGAAAATGACGCTTACTTATTTTTAACAATAAATGACTTATTTAGATTAACAATAAATGACTTATTTATTGTAAAACACATAATTTTCGTTTTACGTTTTATTTTTCCCGCTAACCTTTCATCAGTTTTATCTCTGTATGTGTGGCCGATAGACGAGTCCCCTCCGCTAGTTATCACTACGGAAGCTCCATGACTGGTTCTGGTTCCTCATCACTGTTTGTTATTTATGTTAATTTTTTGTTTTAGAAAACATTCCAAGGAGCCTTCAACTTCAGGTTAATTACTGATAATTTTAAAACAGCATTCAAAAAACGAACAAATAACAACAGGATCGTATTACTTCTTATCATAATCATATTCACCCTGATATTTTTTGTTGTACAAGGTGAAAGAGCTGTCAAGTTCCCTTTTGTTAGAGAAAAACTACAGTGGACTTTACAACAAAATAACACTTATTCAAGCATAAGTTTAGCTTTGCACATGTTGATAGCTATAATCGGTATATATTTTTTGCACCATAAGCTGAAGATTCGAGGTACTATATTAGGACTAACAGGATTAATATCACTTGCTTTAACCAGTTTGCTCTTGGGTTTCACAGTCAGTAATGCTTATATGTATGCAGGTAAGAAATACTATAAACACATACATACGGGATGAAACAGCCAAATGGAATAAATTTGGTAATTAATAAATGGGGTCGTGTTAAAAAAAATTTCGGACACGTCGAATGGTATTTTAGTTTCGCATATTTTGCAAGACTTGCAACTTTTTATACAGCATGTATCTAACAGTGTTTAATATCAACTTTCTTATTTCACATACAATATCCTGTATTGTTTTGGATTCCTTAGAATATTCTAGATATATTTTATGAAATGTGTCCTATACTTATCTTGTTTACTACTGTTTTGGATTTTTTTATTATTTTTTTTATTTATTGCAAAAATTGCTACAACACATTTAATGCTTGTTTTTCATGTAGGTCTTGATAATGACAATGTAAGCTAAAGTTATTTCAGCGTTCCTTTTTAATGATATAAAATAACGAAAATATTTTTTATAATAGTTTTGTTTATTTTAGTATAATACGCTTGATCTCAACATGACAGTAGTTGTCACTCATTTGAACATGACAGTCGTTTATATTGTTAATTGTATATCAAAACAATGGTTTAATTAACATAAATGCATAAAATAACAATTCTTAAGATGATTGGTTATGGAGAGAATACACGAACACAAATGAATGTTAATTGCTTATTTTATGAAACATTTCCAAAATTACCGCCTGTATCCCAAGCAACACTTAAAAGAGAACTCAGGCTTGGACATGTAAAGCAGATAAAAAAGCAGCTGCCGATGCAATAGGTGATGATGCCAAATTGGATAGTGTACTTAAGTTTGAGGAAAACCCACATAATTTTAAACAGCTCCAATGTTTGACGTTAATCATTCATCGATTATTCGGACATCATATTCACTGCCTTCCCTCGTTCAACCGTTTCCATCTCTCTCCGTTGTCCCATTCTCCATCGTTTAGACCTCTCTTACTCAAGCGTCGTCTACTTCGTTTCACCAGGATCTTCGGGGTCGTCCTCTTTTCCTCTTTCCTATGGGGCTCCATTCGGTTATTCTCTTTATAAATCTGCTGTCGCTAGTTCTTCTTACATGTCCATACCACTTCAGTCTTTTTTGTTCTATATGTTAGTATGTCTGTTGCTATTGATGTTCTTTGCTTTACTTCTCCAATCCATTCTTGTTACTCTGTAGCATCTTTGCAGGCATACCATCTCTGTTGCTACTAACTTACTGCTTTTTTTTTATTTATTATCCAATTTTCAGCCCCATATGTCACAATACTTCGCGCTAATGTTTTATAAATCTGTGTTTTTGTCTTCATATTTAGGTGTCTATCTCACCATACAGAGTTAAGTTGTCGGATTGCTGTTCTTAGTTGTCCTAATCTATGTGTAAGTTCTTCCTCTGTTGTTGCCTTTTTCGTGATTATAAACCCCAAGTATTTAACTTTATGTTATTCTTTGATTTTTATGTTGTCATCAATCTGTAGATCTTCTATGTCTTCTTCACTTATATATAGGTACTCTGTTTTCGCGAGGTTAACATCTAGGCCAGCTTTGATATATTCTTCTTGTAGTTTCTTCATCATGTGAGGTCGTCTTGGTCTTGTGCAATCACTACTTGATCGTCTGCAAAGCTTAACGTATATAGGTATTCGTTCCGTACCGGTACTTCCATACCTTCGCATTTTCTTTTCTATGTAGACAATGCTTTCTCTACGTATATTTTGAAAAGGGTTGGAAATGTGGAATAATACTGCAGGAGTTTTTTTGTTGTAATGAAGTTTCCTATGATTCTTGTTCCCACTTTAATGACGTCTGGAAGCCTAATTCCGGGAAGGATCAAGCCTGCCTGATCCTCCCCGATTTTGCCTTTTATCGCTTGCTCTATCTTTTCTAACAGTATCTTCCCAGATAATCATCCTATTGATGATATTACGCTTATTCCTCTGTAGTTTTCGCATCGTTTTTATCGCCTTCCTTAAATATAGATGTCATACATGCTTCCGTCCATTCTTTTGGGAGCTGTTCTCCATTTATGGTTTTCTGAAATATCCATTGTATCATCCGGTGTAATTTTTTTAATCCGCATATTATAAGTTTTATAAGCTATTTTATAAGGAGAACGTATTTTTGTAAAAACATAATAGCAATGTAGTATAACAATGGTAATACATATTAGAACATGTTTTGTTTTCTGATAAGTGTACCTTTACAGTTTAAGGGCATACTAATGGTCAGAATTGCCGCTATTCTAGGTCTAGGGAAAATCCTCACTGAATGAGAGAAGAACATATCCAATACCCTGAGAATATTAATGTATGGACAGTAATTGTAAGATATATCAGAGAACCCTTTTTTATTGATGGCAATTTGAATTGCGATGATTATTTAGCCCTTTTCAAAAATAATGTCATACTAACTTTGGCAAACTTATATCTTGATCCGACAAACTCACAAGTTTGCCGAATCAAGAGTATCACCCCAATACCAAATGAATGTTCGGTAGTACCTCAACCGAATATTTCCAAATCGATGGAGATGGAGGCGAGGATCGATGAAATGACCAGCACAATCTCACGATTTGGCGTCATTAGACTTTCTTATGGATAACTAAAGTCCTCGAGTTAGCTTACTTAAAAGACGAATAACGCTTGCGATTAAATCGGACACTTATCTCCTACATTCAGAATAATGTACCTTTTTGTTTTTTTTTTACATTATCGAGAAATAAACGCTATTACTAATAGTTAGTTTTTCATGATATCTAAAAATATTTAATATTCAAAAAATAGTTGGGTATACAATATTGTGCATTATATATATATATATATATATATATATATATATATATATATATATATATATATATATAACACTGTTTTTGATGGGTTGGAGTCAATAAAAGGGGCTATTTGTTGACTATTTTTTACTCGAGCTTTCAATTGTGATTACAATTTTTATCAAGAGCTTCTAAAAATACAAAATATCTTACAAAGTTGAACTAGAAATAAATAATGTTGTTGTTAACTCACCAAATAAAATTAGTTATTTATATAAAACTGCTGCTAACATTATTACAAAAAATATTATTAAAAAAATGTTCTATTCTAATAAATGTTTCTCTGACAAATTTAGATAAAGTTTCTTAACAAAAAAACAATTGGATTTATAAACAAAAATTGAATAGCTACAATTCAGCCTAAATGACGTAAATAACAACTTAAAAATTTTTATTTTTGACATATTGTCAAAAATAAAAATTTTTGTTTAAAAATTCTTCTTTGTTTAGTAACAAAAAAGAAGAAGATTTATTCATCATTGATAGATGCCCGAAAAAATGTAACAAATACATGGAAAATTCAAAATGTGATATTTTACTGACTGCATAAATTAAATAGAAATTATATAATTATAAATTTTGCTTAAATTTGAATTTCTGACCTTTTGTTTAAATTATTATCACTTTTGCTAATACAAACCATTTCCAAAAAAGTTCTTTTAAATTTATTACTTTCATTACATAAAATTTTAATATTATCAAAATCCATAATATGGTCTTTGTCTATTACATGCTCTGCCAAAGCACAAGATGGTTTCTTAATTCTACAATCACTAAAAACTAAATTAAGAAACCATCTTGTGCTTTGGCAGAGCATGTAATAGACAAAGACCATATTATGGATTTTGATAATATTAAAATTTTATGTAATGAAAGTAATAAATTTAAAAGAACTTTTTTGGAAATGGTTTGTATTAGCAAAAGTGATAATAATTTAAACAAAAGGTCAGAAATTCAAAATTTAAGCAAAATTTATAATTATATAATTTCTATTTAATTTATGCAGTCAGTAAAATATCACATTTTGAATTTTCCATGTATTTGTTACATTTTTTCGGGCATCTATCAATGATGAATAAATCTTCTTCTTTTTTGTTACTAAACAAAGAAGAATTTTTAAACAAAAATTTTATTTTTGACAATATGTCAAAAATAAAAATTTTTAAGTTGTTATTTACGTCATTTAGGCTGAATTGTAGCTATTCAATTTTTGTTTATAAATCCAATTGTTTTTTTGTTAAGAAACTTTATCTAAATTTGTCAGAGAAACATTTATTAGAATAGAACATTTTTTTAATAATATTTTTTGTAATAATGTTAGCAGCAGTTTTATATAAATAACTAATTTTATTTGGTGAGTTAACAACAACATTATTTATTTCTAGTTCAACTTTGTAAGATATTTTGTATTTTTAGAAGCTCTTGATAAAAATTGTAATCACAATTGAAAGCTCGAGTAAAAAATAGTCAACAAATAGCCCCTTTTATTGACTCCAACCCATCAAAAACAGTGTTATATTTTTTCCAAACGAGTCACAAGTACTTCTTTTTTCTTACTCTTATATATATATATATATATATATATATATATATATATATATATATATATATATATCTAGAAGGTTATAAAAAATTAAAAATTGTATAATATAAACGGTTTTGTACTTAAAATAAGAAAGTTGGTATTGAGCATCGTTACATGACACACCCTGTATAAAAAGTTTTTATTGCAAAAGATGCGCCACTAAAAATACCTATCGACTAGTCCAAGTTTATTTTTCAACACGCCTCCATTTATTAATTATCGAATTTATTCCATTTTACTGTCCCACACTGTATACATGTTTTAAAAAGATTATTAATGTATAAATAATCCTTAGCTTTTACTTTATATTTATTATGCAATAGATAGTAATCGTAAAATGCTTTTTTACTTCATTTGAAATATAGTCCACGACTGTTATAAATAAAAGTGGGACTAGAATGTTTCCTTGTCGAAGTCATTTATTTGTGGTGAATATCATTGACCTGGTACTACCTTTGACCTACTTGTACTTGTTTTATTTATTGCTATAGAAGCTACAATACTGATTATTTTTTCATCCATCTCTTTAAGTCTTAATATATTCCACAGTTTTTCATGGTTCATACTGTCAAAGGCTTTATATAGATCTAGGGTGCACATGAATATCTTTTTATTTGTGGATAATATTTTCTCAGAAATCTTGCCCATTACAAATAACCTGTCGCTGGTCGATTTTTCTGCTCTCAACCTGATTGTGTATCACTTACTATTTTTTCTATTTTTTCCTTAGCTGGCTTGTAATTATTTGTTCATATACTCTGCAATTCATACAAATTAGTGGGATGGACCTGTAATTTTAGAATTGCCATAATCCCTTCTTTTCTAGATAGGTAACAAGACCACCATCTTCTATGCTTTAGGTATCTTATTTTTCTTTCATGCTAGTCTAATTATCGAAAGTAATAATAGAAATCGTTTGTTCTTATGTATTTTAAAATTTCTGATCATATGTTGTCTATTCCTGTGGTTTTTTTCTTTTCTAGTTTTCTAATGGATTATGTGGTTTCTTTCAATTTAATTTCGTTTTATTCTACTTGTCTTCCTTCTTGCATATCGTGTTCTACTTACAGTTTTTCTATTTCTTGTTCATCCAGTTCTAAATCAAATTATTACTTTAGATTTAGATTACTATTAATATAGATGATTAGATGCTTATCTTCTTGGTCCCCAATAGACACAGATTTAAATCCTCCGAACACCATTTTGTCGTGTGTAGCACTCGAATTTTTTAACTGAACTTTTTCCGTTTTAACCAGACAAATTCAGTGAAGAAAAAATTGCTCCTGCTTATTCAGTCATCGAGTAAATAATTGTTAAGAACAAGGAGGAAAATTCTGAAAAACTCAATGATATCTCTAGTAATAAGACACCTATTAATAAAAATCCTCCTGAAAGTCCTGCTACTGCTACTGCTACTGCTATCGAGATTATTAATCGTAGTCAACCGGGGACATTGTCAGGAACAGTGGATTTTTCAAAAAGCATTCTCGACATTTCACCTATGCCAACTAACAGGACCGATTCTAAACAAAAAGGTCAGTATAGAAAGCAACATTCTGTTATACTGACTTCGACAGCAATGAAAGGTATCCTGCAAGATGCCAAAGAAAAAAAGGGAGTTGAAGCAAAAAGCGAAAGCAGTAAAACAAAATTTTACAGACCGTGAAAATAAAATATTCGAAAGAAATCAAAAAAATTTAAACAAAACAAAAGTAAGTTTATATCTGAACACGAACTTTCTAAGAATAAAAAAACAAAGAGAATGGAGAAAACTATCAGACCAAAATTCGATTTTGATGAAACATCGTCAGAAGATTTTGATGATGACAAACTTTGTGATGATGATTCAAATGATGGTATCTTTCTACCCACTGTGTTGGCCGATGAGAACTGTTTCTTCTTCTTCTAGTTCCATGACCGTTATCGATCATTGGTTATCATGTTGGCTACCATATTCGCTATCGTGACTTTATTGACAGCAGCTCTAAATAACGATGTAGTTGATTTTCCACACCATTGCCTTAGATTTTTCAGCCATGATTTTCTTCGTCTACCAGGACCACGATTACCTTGGATCTTTCCCTGAATGATCAGATATAAAAGGTCATATTTTTCAGGGTGTCTCATAATGTGACCGAAGTATTCCAGCTTGGAATAAGGACCTCCTCATTTCTAACTCTGTTGACCCAGCTTATTTTCAGTAGTCGTCTGTATACCCACATCTCAAAGGCTGTCAAGCGTTTAAGCATAGCCTCAGTTAGAGTCCACGCTTCCACTCCATACAGCAGGACAGGAAAGATGTAGCAAGATGTCATATGAGCTCTAAGGTCAATGCTAAGATCGTGACTGCAAAGTACGTTTCTCATTTTTACAAAGGCAGCTCGGGCTTGTTCTATTCGGCTTTTAATTTCTGCGGTTGGATCCCAGCTCTCATTGACATTACCGCCGAGATACACGAGTTTCTCTACTCTGTCCAGTGTGGCATCTCCGACTTTTATACCGTCATCCTGTATATAATTTTGTTTGCTAACTTAGTTTTCTTAACGTTGAGTTTTAATCCATACTGATCACAAGTCTGTTTTATTTTGTCCATTAGATTTTGAAGGGCTTCTCCGCAATTGGCAAGAACTAAGTTATCGTCGGCGTATCTAATATTGTTGACGGTTATTTATTCATAATAATACGTTCGGTTGTCTCCATTAAGGCTTCCTTAAATATTTCCTCCGAATATAAGTTAGAAAGTAAAGGCGACAATATACAGCCTTGTCTCACTGCTTTTTTTATATTTATTTCATCCGACAGTTCCTGTTCAACCTTTATTCTTGCCACTTGATGCCAGTATAGATTTGTAATTATTTGTAGATCTTTATCGTCCAATCCAGCTGTTTCCAATATTTCTAGGATTTTGTTATGTCGGACTTTGTCAAAAGCTTTTTCAAAATCGATTGCACAAATGTACACATTTTGATTTATATCTCTGCATCTCTGTACTAGCACGTGTATACTAAACAAGGCTTCTCTTGTACCCAAGCCACTCCTAAACCCAAATTGAGTATTGCTAATCCTGTCCTCTAACAGCGTATAAATTCTGCTGTGTATTACTCGCAGGAAGATCTTCAAAACGTGACTCATCAGACTTATTGTCCGATAATCACCGCATGTCTTTGGACGATGTTTAGATTACACAGAACTTTAATTCCATTTTCTCCCAAAACCTTTAGTATTTCAGCACTTACTTCATCGGGGCCAAGTGCTTTTCCATTTTTTGCCGTTTGTATTGAACGTCTTACCTCACTTTCTGTTATAGATGGACCTGATATAGTAATCGGTGTATAGTGTAGTGCAATCGTAGTTCTACTCTCTCATCTTCAAATAATTTAGAAATGTAGTTTTCCCATTCTGAAGAGAACTGTTTAATTTGTCAATTATGTTTGTGACTTCTGTGAATAGAATAGTAGGTTGTTTTTAGGTTATGTTTTCATTTATCATTCATTATACTGTTATTTTTGTATGTTTCCAAATAAAATTTAAATAAAGACATTTGCTTAGAACATGTTTTATAGAGAAGTCTTATCCAGTTTAGTTATAGGTGGCGCCATTACCCCCTAGGCCTTGGGCAATGCCGTCACGTTACACAAAAAAGTGTTGCGTTTATTGTCGCTTAATCAAGGCAAATAAAGAATTTCTGAAAACTAATTTAAATTACAAACTTAGTTCTTAGATCGCTAGCATAGTTATATATCTCTTTTATCTCAAAATTAAGTCACAAAAAATGTTGATCTCTTAAGCTGGCGCCATTACACCGCCCTCTCCTAACAAAATTGGAATAACTTGTGTTCAAGTGGTCTTTAAGTCCACTGAATAAACACAGATATTAAGAATAAAAGGCATTTTTTTCGCATTTTCAGCAAGATAGCAGCTTTGTATAAAATAAAAAACCCCGTTGAGTTATTATACCCGCACTAGCCGTTATGCCCGCCCTTCTCTTATACCACTACAAACGAAGTGGATAAATTTGATACATTATAATTTAGCATTATTGGTAATAGTCCAACTGTTTATTTTTAATCGTAACATATTTATATTTCAGCTTTACTAATCGGCTCATGTAATGGTTTTACAATACCAATGTTGCGAACTGAAATAGGTCATGTAATTCCCGCGGATGAAATGGGAAAAGTATTTGGTGTGATTTCGGCACTCCAAGGGTTAATTACCTTTGGAGCTGCTTCACTTTATACTCTCTTTTATAATGCAACAATTGGTATCAATACTGCTCTCTATAACTTTATATCGTTTGGAGTATATACGACAGCAGTTTTTCTTGTTCTGTAAGTATTTGAAAATTAAATTGTGACTATATGGCATTCAATTTACTAATTTTATTGGAAATAAGCCATAATTTTGCTTTAAAATATGTTTATTTGACGTTTTGATTTCTACTTCGGAAATCTTTATCTTCTCAGATAAGTAACTGTTTTATATAAAAGTTTTATTTAAAAATTCTTTGTGAAAGGTTTATAATTAAAAAGACCCTTTTGAGCTACAGCACAGAACGTTTTCGGACTACACTCCATCATTAGTGTATTACCTAGAATAAGTATTACCACTTTAGTGAATGCAAACGTGAAGTGTTAAATTTTGAATAAGGTTAAAAAAAGCAATGTGGTTAAATATTTACCATGTGTACATGAGTCAAACTAATAAATATTTGAGAAAAAAACCCCTAGAATGGTACAACATTTATTATTTGTTACATTTTTTTTAAATGGTCTGGTGTTTAAGTTTTTAATAGATACCTACATGGCAACGTAAGACTGCCAATGGTGGTTGGTGCTGAGACAAAGGCTCTATTATTGTTTTTTATTCATACATCCTGATCCATATACACACAAGACAGTCCAACCCTTTGTCTTCGTTAATTAACAACTCATCATTATACATATTTCTTCTATTTAATTTTTAGGTATAAAATGTTAATTTATAACCTAAAGGGCCTTATCAATATTTCATTGATTATTGCTGCATTAGGTACATAAATATATTGATGCTTGCCTATTTAAGATTAAAATATTTTTCAAAGTATTTCCACAGATACAATTGTCTTACAATGTTTAAACTGAATTTTGAGGGTACAACCCACTTCAACCCCAATATATTGATGTTTGCTACTGGTATACGTAACAACAAATGAAATTTTAAAAAATCTTGAACATATTCATTTACCATATTGTTGGATAGTATCACATTAAGACACATACTATAAGTTACACATACTGCTTTGTTCATATATCATTTTAACATTTGCGCTCATTTAAGTGATCATCCGGCTCATCGCTATGGAGTCGCAATCTTAATAAATACAGAAACTAATAAATTAGTAATAAGGTTCACTCCTTACTCACGGAGAGTGATAATGGTTCAGCTGAAGACAAACATACAACAAGTTAACTTAATTCAAGTATACTTATTATATATTAAAATACTTAAAAAAATTTCGGACCTCACCATGACATCACCACAAATCATTATAAGATCAGAAGCAATATCGAATTAAAAGCACTCTACAACGACGCCGATATTGTCCAAGAAATTAAATCACAGCGACTAAGATGGGCAGGCCACGTGCACAGACTGCATAACGAAAGACTTATAAAACTGGTAATGGAGGAGATTGCCACAGGCAAAAGACCACTCGTACGTCCCAGAATACGATGGAGAGATAACATCTAAGCAGATCTCCGGAAACTGAACATTCCATTTGACCCTAGGTTGATGGAAGACCGAACAAAGTGGCAAAAAGTTGTACAGTCAGCCAAGACCTACCCAGGGTTGTAGAGCTACGTGATGATGATGATGATGAAGTATCCGCACCAACAGAGGATAAGGATAAAGAGGAGATAGAACATTTTTTTATACAAAGAGTTAGACACCATTTTAAGATCTATTAAAAAATAAGACATTACAATAGTAATGGGGGACTTTAACGCTAAAGTTGGGAGACGAAAAGTTGAAGAATATGTTGGGGAATTTAGACTAGGTGACAAAAACGAAAGAGGGGATAGACTTGTGGATTTTTTTTAAAATAAACATTTTGCAATAATGAACACAATGTTCCAACTATCCGACAGAATATCATACACTTGGAGATCTCCTGCAGAGAACAGAGACCGAATAGTCGGAAATCAAATAGACTCTACATTAGTCAAAAATAGATACAAAAACTCAACTAAAGCAGTAAAAGCATACCCCGGAGCAGATGTCAACTCAGACTATAATCTGCTGATAGCTAGAATGCACATAAAACTAAAAAATATTGTAATATTTCTACAAAATAAACCAACGTTTAATTATACAAAATTAAAAAAAAGAAATACATCAAAAAGTGATCCAACAAGTCAACTCAAATCTAACAGAAGTAGGCGAAGAAATATTAACATAAGATGTCAATGAAAAGTGGAGCAATAAGACAACAGGAATAATACCCGAAGATTGGTTGCTGTCCACGTTTCTAACACTACCAAAGTCAGTACATGCGACAGAATGCTTCCAGTACGTTCTCGCTCAAAGACAACTAGATATGAACAAGGGTGTCTATTTTTACTTTATAGATTATCAAAAGGCTTTTGAAAGAGTACGACATCAGAAACTCTTAAAACTGTTAAAAGAAAATGTGGATATTCAAGATATACGGGTTATTGTTAATCTGTACTTGAATCAAAAAGCAAAGGTTAGAATTAAAAATCAGAAACTATAGAAATCAAAAAAAGTATTAGACAGGGTTGCGTTGTGTCTCCATTATTATTCAATCTGTACAGCGAAGCTATTTTTAAGGAAAAAATATCAGAGGAACAGCAGGATATATCAATAAACGGAAAAATCAAGATTTTTCCGTTTATTATTAGATTATATTGTTCAAGATTTGCAAACGATTAAGAAAACCAAGGAAGGCTAGATATCGAGGGAAAACAAGTAGAAAGAGTGAATAACTACAAATATCTTGAAAACTGGGTAAATGAAGACAATGACCAAGGTAGAGAAATAAAGATCTGCATTAAAATTACAAGACAAGCATTTATAAAAATAAAAACAATGTTTGTTAATCGAGACCTTCCTCTGGAACTAAGGATAAGAGCCTTAAGATGCTACGTGTTCTCGACTTTGTTGTATGGAATGAAAAGCTGAACCAACCTTTGATAGGAGAAGGAATTACAAGAAGAAAAGAAGTGGTCATACTTATTCCAGGTTACCCACTGATGATGGCCGTTTTGGCCCAAAAACATTCTGTGATGTAGCCTGAAAGGGTCTTTTTAATTATATACCTTTTATTAAGCATTTTTTAATTAAACTTTTGTGATTTATGGTATACAGCCAACTACAGGAATTTCATTTTCCTTGTGGGCTTTGTATAAATATATAATCTTGAATGTTTTGAAATCAAACAAAAAACGTAACTATATAAACATTTATTTATTATTATTATTTAATAAATAATGTTAGGTATTTAATATTTCTGTATATATTTTTTTATTGTATAATTGAGAGTTAAATAATAATTTCATGTGTCTGTTTTATTTCGATTTATATAATTAATAAATTTCTTAAAAATGTATTATTTACTTAATTAATATGTTTTAGGATAATTATTATATTGAAGAAACGACAATCAATACAGGAAATTTTTAACACCAATGCTCCATTCCCAGCGGAACAAGAATAAATTAAATTTCTTATCTGATATTTCTTTTACATATTATATACAAACATCTAGTGAAACTAGATGCAGTTGCCTAGGTGTTGAATTAAAACATACGTTTACGTTTAAGATTCTAACTTGCCTGTATCTGGTAGAGATGTAATTATATGCCTCACTCACCGTCAAAATCTGCGAAATGCAGTACATATAGTACATATAATAATTGTTTTTACTGATTAAAAACGTTATTTTTGTAAAAAAATTGACTGAAAAAAACACTGACTAAAACTGAAGGACTGAAGGGATTGACCAAGTGGATTTAAATGATAGTTTGATCAATTGGTTTAAGAGTGATTGGTTCATGAATTCTAGAAATAAAAATATTGCCGTATCTTGTATTTCTCTAATCAAGAAAAAGCGTTAGATGTAGCCGGAAATAAAAAAAATGACTTCTGACGCTTCAAATGGACGACCGAAAAAATTTTGTTAAATTAAATGAACGAACGAAATATTGATGTTCATCTGGAAATTGTTGAGACATAAGAGAAATGTTACACATAATATTAAAATACTACCCACCAAAAGATTTCTACTAATTTTTGTTTTCGAATATTTTGTGCTTGAAATAGCGATTATTTTACCCAAAGCTCGAATAGTTTCGAGCTTCGAGCAAAAAATATTAATTTGGTTTATAAAATTTCAACACGACTGAAAATAATATTTTAACCATCACAGATTCACTTAGCGCAATTCATGGAAATAATCAACTTTTCCCTAGATATCCTATTACACAACATATAACAAATGAACTTAATGCACTACACCATATAAATAAAAAGGTTACATTTATCTGGATACGATAGTCCATGAATCATATAATAAATTTATGGCAAGCAACCTGGGACGCAACAGACTCTAAATTGAAAACAATAAAGCCTCGAGTAGACGCCAGCCTACCACAACAAGGAAAAAGAAGAGATCAAATAATCGTAAATCGTCTTCGAATCGGCCAACAATACTAACACACCAACAACTTCTAAATAAAGAACCAGCTCCGATTTGTCCCTACTGCTCTACTCAACTCACCGTGAAGCATCTGATAATCGACTGTCCGCAGTTCCAACCTCAGAGAACATGCCGAGGAATTACTGGAAAGCTGAGAAGTGCGCTTACGAGAAATATCTCGGATTTATTTCAGTTTCTAAAAGACATAAACATTTATAATAAACTTTAATTTATCAAACTTTACTACTGTGTATGTCCCCCCACTAATAACCCTTGGTGGTTGATGTAGGTTCTCTATGTTTAAATAATAAAAAAAATCAACATGATATATAAAATAAAAATAAATAAAACACGCAGAATAAATTCATAACAATTTATGTTCGATATACGTAAAATTGATAATTCTTGATAGCTCATGAATCAAACCGTTTGTGTGCCACAAATGTCCAAAATGTGAATGTGGTCACTTTTTAAACGTCAATAACTAAAATCAATTGAACTTACATATGGGATATGATGCACGCAATCTATTAAATATCGAAATTAACCATATTTTTCCATAATCGATCGATTTAGTTCCCGAAGGTCCCACCCTGTATAGCTAAAAATAAATGTTATTTAAAATATATTTGTTATTTTAATAAATTATACAATTTTAATTAAAGTTTGTGTTTCTTATTAAACTACTTGAAGAAATTTATTTGTGAATATATGTATTTTTTATAAATTTATATATATGTGTATTTTATACATATATAAAATATTCTCCACAAGAAGGTAAAAGAGGCAGCAGGAATGTACAAACCCAAGAGATCAGGTCATATGACTGATGATCATGGCTACCCGGTAATAGATATTGAACAAACAAAGAATATATGGAAGAGATACGTTGAGAAGACATTCGATGACGACAGAGATAACAACCATATAATTATGGAATACGACACAGGACCACCAATCACTCAAGATGAAGTCAAAGCCGCAATTAAAGTGACCCAAGCAGGTAAAGCACCAGGACCCGACAACTTTCATTCAGAATTTCTAAAAATCATGGGAGACAAAAGAATAAAATGGCTTAAGACAACGTTCAATAAAATCTATGACTCGGGAGAAATCCCAAAGAGCTGGTTAAAATCTACATTTTTTGCTATACCTAAAAACCTAATGCAAAAACATGCGAAGAACATAGTATTATCAGTCTTCTTCTTCTTCTTCAGCCTTCATTTATCCAATGTTGGACATGGGCCTCCTCCAATTGCTTCCACGCTTCCCTATCTTTTGCAATTCTCATCCACTGCTTTCCAGCTACAGCAGTTATATCGTCTATCCATCTCTTTTTAGGTCTTCTCACGCTTCTTTTTGTTTCTCGAGGTCTCCAGAATGTCACTTTATGAGACTATCTGTTGGTGTCTTGTCTTGCTACATGTGCTACCCATTGCCATCTCACTGTCGCTATTTTTCCCATGATGTCGGTTACTTTAGTTCTTCGACGTATTTCGGTGTTAGGAATTTTGTCTCTGAGGCTTATATTTAACATGGCCCTCTCCATGGCCCGTTGAGTTACTCTTAGTTGTTCTGCCATTTTTCTTGTTATTGCCATAGTTTCCAATCCATAAGTTGCATTATCAGTCTAATGAACCACATTCTTAAGACCTTCATAGAGATAATACACAGAAGAATTTATCAGAAATGCCAGTCACAGATCTCACGAACGCAGTTTGGATTCAGGGATGCGTTAGGTACAAGTGAAGCCTTGTTTGCGGTTCAGGTATTATTTCAAAGATGCAAAGATGTCAACTGCAATATTTATGTATGTTTTCTCGACTACCAGAAAGCTTTCGACAGAATCAGCAACAATTCGGATGAAAGACCAACTAACAGAGAAAGTCGCAATAAAGAGAGGAGTACGACAGGGCTGCATACTCCCCCCCCTATTATTTAACGTCTATTCGGAACACGTCATGAGCCAGGCCTTAGAGATATCGAAGATGGTATTCTCATAAATGATGAGCGCCTGAATAACATCAGATATGCAGGTGACACCATCCTCTTTGCAGACAGTTTAGAAGGTTTACAGACACTAGTAACGCAATTGTGGCGAATCAGTCAAGAATACGGGCTTGACTTTAACATCAAGAAAACAAAGTACATGGTCATCAGTAGGAAGCATATTCCACCTAGTCAATTACTGGTAGATCAGCAACAAATAATGCAAGTGCCCCGTTAGTACTATTTAGGAACCACCATAAACGATCAATGGTACCACTCAGTTGAGATAAAACAAAGAATTGAAAAAGCCAGGTCAGCGTTTTTCAGAATGAGCAAGATATTTATGAGCCAAGACCCTTAAATACGAAAATCCGTTTATTGAGATGCTATCTATTTACAGTGCTGTTCTATGGGGTGGAATCATGGACACTAACCGAGACATCCATGGGAAAACTCGAGGTGTTTGAGATGCGGTGTTATAGACGGATAATGAGGATCTCCTGGGTGGACCGAATAACAAACATTGAGGTTCTACGTCGGATGGATAAAACGTGTAAAATTATATCCACAGTGAAACAGCGCAAGCTAGAATATCTTGGACATATAATGCGAAACGGTCATAGATATAACCTGCTGCAACTTATATTACAGGAAAAGGTCTACGGAAAGAGGGGACCAGGAATAAGAAGAATATCTTGACTTCAGAACTTACAAAAATGGTTTTCCTTGACCACTTCAGGACTATTTCGAGCTGCGGTCAATAAAGTTATTATTGCCATGCTAGTAGCCAACATCCGTAATGGATAGGCATCACAAGAAGAAGAAGAAGATGTATTTGATAAACGTCTTTAAAATTAAAAAAAACACATTTTTACTCGTAATAGAGTCCCGCCGTAAAGATGTTTGTACGTGACCACTATTAGGAGCTGATTATGCTGCCAAGCACAGAGTAAAATCCGGCAAATGAGCATTCCTATTTTAACCTTACTACACTCTCAGTATGAATTTCACTATAGGCTTTTTACAAAAATATCCACGTTACCAAATCTCTTGCTATCCGAATAGTTACCGAAAATCGATCAATTTTATGCTTATCAAATTGAGATATTAAAAGGTTAAATTATAAAGATCTGAGAATGTAATATGAGTACAAATGATATGACTTCAACGCAAGATACCAAATAAAAGTTAACCAAAACACTTCCGTTTCCAATAAGATGCACTAGATTGTAAAAAACAAGGCTCTACTTTAACGCTTAGATGGACGAAAACAAAAACAGTCGGAAAAGAATAAAACAATTTAACACATGGAAAAGACGATTAAACAGTTGACATTCTGGCAAACAGAGAGGAAGAAAACGATTTAACAAACGGAGAAGAAGCTTAGAGAGGTAATGTTTTGACTAATAAAAAAAGGAAAATGAAGAAGACAACTACACAGTTGATAGATGACGAATAATAGCTATACTCTGATAGCACGAAGCCTTCAACACATATCATTGTCGTTCATAAAGCATAAATGCAGCATATTAGTAATTTTTTAATAATATTTATTATCTTTCAATGCTTTCTTTCAATGCTTTCAAAGCATTGAAAGAAATGAAAAACAACAAATCGCCTGGAAAAGATGGAGTAACTACAGAGATGCTGAAATATGGTGGAAAAGTGGTAATTAATACTCTACATTCCCTTTTTAACAGGATATTAAAAGAAAAAAGAATCCCAAACAACTGGAAGGAATCAGTAACCATTATCCTACACAAGAAAGGAGATAAAGCAGATATAAAAAACTACCGTCCTATAACATTCCTCAATGTAATGTATAAACTCCTAACAAAAATTTTAACCAATAGATTGACGACAAAATTCGATGGATACCAGTCGAAAGAACAAGCTGGTTTTAGAAAATACCACATTCCTCTATATATGGCGTTCATAGATTTCGAAAAGGCTTTCGACAGTGTCGAACATTGGGCAGTGAAAAGTTCTTTGATTAACAGCCGAATTGACCACAGATATACGGAACTAATAACCAATATATATAAGGAAGTCAAAACAAAAATTAAAGTATATGAAGGAACAAAATCATTACAAATAAGTAGAGGCGTGAGACAGGGTGATACAATATCACCGAAACTTTTCAATCAGGCTCTTGAAGATATTTTTAAAAGATTAGAATGGGAAAAAAAAGGTATAAAAATTTGTGGACAACGCTTGAACCATCTAAGGTACGCTGATGACATCGTATTGATAACCGATAAAAAAGATGAATTATTTGAAATGATGAAAGAACTGGACGTAGAAGCTGGAAAGATAGGCCTTAATATGAATTACAGCAAGACCAAAACTATAACAAATACAGATGAAGACATCACAATGAGAATCGGACAAGATGAAATAGAACAAGTTAAGGATTATATATATCTTGGTCAAACTATAAAACTTAACAAAGAGAACCAAACAGCAGAGATCAAGAGACGAGTTAGACTGGCATGGGCAGCATTTGGCAAACTAAGCTACATTCTTAAAAACAAAAGATATCCACAGCATCTTAAGAGCAAAGTATATAATCAATGCGTACTCCCTGTTCTTACGTATGGCTCCCAAACGTGGACATTTACAAAAGCAAACATGGACAAAATCATAAAAACCCAAAGAGCAATGGAAAGACAAATGTTGCACATAAGACTAATGGATAAGAAGAGAAACGAGTGGATAAGAGAGAAAACAAAAGTGAGGGATGTTAGACAAGAAGTTGCAAAGTTGAAATGGAGATTTGCCGGACACAATATAAGACAAAAAGAAGACCGATGGAACAAAATTCTTATAAGTTGGAGACCGTGGGAATATAAACGAAGCAGAGGAAGGCCCCAAATGAGATGGGCAGATGATATCAAGAAGCACGTGGGCTCTAGATGGATGACTGTTGCGACAGACAGAGAAGAATGGAACAGGATTGGGGAGGCCTATGTCCAAAGATGGACCGAAGAAGGCTAATTAGATAGATAGATTTAAATTATATAAAAATTATTAATTTTAATAATATTTAAGTAATACTAATTAATAATTTAATAAGTCGGATACAGGGTAAGTCAAAATACATTGGTAATTTTTAATGGATCATTTAGAATATCACTTTCGAAAAGTAATATTAAACTCGTCAATTTAGGTGTTTAAAAATGTTAATGGTATGAAATTGAGTCTGTTACATACAAAGTATTTTCAGATATATAAAAACAAAACAACTAATGAAATAATGATAGTACTCACCTCAGAATAAAATTTAATTAACACGGAGGTACCTGCATAAAAATACCTAAGAAGACTCATTTGTAAGAAATTCAAGTTAATCCCGGTTATTACAGAAGGTATACAAAATCTATATGAACATCATCATCATTTAACCCGGATCTATCCACTGCTGGATATAGGTCTCCCTCAGCCTTTTCCATGTATTTCTGTTTTGTGCTGTTTGCATCCAATTTTTGTCGATCAGTTTTATGTCATCAGACCATCTTGTTGGTGGACGACCTCTATTTCGATGTGCTTCTTGTCTCGGTCTCCACTGTACTATTCGCTGTGTCCATCTGTTATCCGACATTCTAAGTATGTGCCCCGCTTAGTTCCACTTAAGGGTCATAGTTCTTTCTATGGCATCTGTCACTCCTGT